TTGATGGAGGATACTTTATTCTTTCAAATAAGATCTGGGTAGATGCCTCTGTCAAATAAATCTACACGTGGAGAAGGAAAAGCATTGATGGAAGATACTTTATTCTTTCAAATAAGATATGGGTAGATGCCTCTGTCGAATAAATCTACACGTGGAGAAGGAAAAGCATTGATGGCTTCCCACAACTGGCCAGTAGGATCACCGCAATTCTTGTCTTGATGCCTCTGTTTGAAATGGTGATCTACGATCACCAAGCGTGCCTCTCTCTTAGCTTCTCAAAAGAAAGATGATCACTGTTATATTCAGATATGCATGTTTTGTGGATAAAGCTTTTCTATTACCGAGTTATGATCGGATGAGGCTGTCAGTAATTTAGCAGCTCGACATACCATTAGAGTCAAGATATACCATCCTCAAGGAAAATCAAACCAGGAAAGTAAATTGGTGTTTGGCCAAGGCCACCAGTATGTTGAATTTCTTTGCCAAGTGAATTACTTGACCGACATCGGGCTCATTACCTCACCAACTCAACTCATGGAGAAAAGCATGTCGGTGTTCAACTTCGGCAGTAATTTCAGGATGTCTGATCTTCAATCCCGTGGGACCACCAGTGGGTCCCACATGGTTAATATGGAAAAATTTGCTTGGCTGCGAACATGCTTACTACCACATGATGAGTTCATCGATCCGTTGTGTAAATAATTGATCACTCCCAGGAGATAGGAAATCACGTGCTATGTAGCAATGACACTATTGAGTACCAATTGCCAAGAAGGAAATAGAGTTGGCTCAAAGAAGCCACTATTGCATGTAATCAAGCCCTTATTGAAGCTGTGGAAATTTTGAAGGTTGTAGAAACCGAGAAGAGGTTGGGTAAAATTGGGGATGCCAACTCATGCTCAAATTATAGAAGATGAAATATACCAGAATGCTAAAGTTAAGTGACAGCAGTTTAAAATCAATTCGGGGAGATAATCTCCACGACTATGGTCTTCCAAGGCTGATTTCCCGGCCATGCAAATGCAATAGATAAGTCATCCTATGCCAATTATTATTTTTCCCAAATTCAGATTACCGAATTATCTGCACATATGAGTTAGATAAACTTGTGGAAATTATTATATATGTCAATTATTATGTTGCATTTCCATGATAGTAAAGGTATCTATAATTCTTGTGCCATAATAATATCATAGAGCCGGAATGGAAGATAAACCCAACTTATATGTCCGAGATCACAAGTAAGCTCATGGTAGCATAAGTAAAATTTTATTTGTACTTATAAATGAGATATTGCAATTACAAACTTCTCTGCACCAATTTATCTGCACAAATTGTGATGGCATGTAACAAACCGTGAATGAGCTACTGTGCAGACAATATTTGCAGGAGATACCCTAACCTAGCTTGACTAGGATTAATAATAATTACTTAAAAGAATCTTGCAGCCCGGTCAACAATTCTTGCACCTCGGCTTGTAAATGAAATCCTCGGACATCAAAAGATATGTTGGTGGCATTGTCTATGGAGTAAGTGAAGGGGTCTCACAAAGTTTTAACGCAACAAGCTTTAAAGAAAAGAAAGTTGAGCGGAACCCAACTCAGATCTGTAGTGAACAAACAAGATGGACGGCTAGAAATATAATCCAGTGAGCAAGAACAAAAGAAAAAGTCTGCATCAAAAGATACAAAATCAACTCCAGTTCCTACCAACTCAACTCAGATCGTTGCCTCACGTTAAAAATAATGAGCAGATGGCTATCTTAAAGCCATGAAGGAAGCCGAGTTAAATATACATTGTGAAGCCAATCGAACATGAATATACATTGTGTGTTTCGATTTGGTCGAAGGCTGCAGTATATAATAAGCCACATCTTTTTTTTAGAAGAAAGGCATTATAGCTGAATTGAGAATCATTTACAATGCAGTCAAACTTTCTTTACCTACTAAGTTCAAGAATGCCAGCATATAAAACAAACTCGAAGAACGTGGAAGCCTAATTATGGGCATCCAAGAATCAACATTTCAGAACAAAATTTTGGTTTGGAGAATAGGGGGACGCCCCAATCCGCAATAAAAACCCAAGATAAAAATCTGGGGTAAATGAAACTCTGGCAAGAAGCCGAGTTAAATATTATGAAGTCGAGGATTTGAACCCGTCTTGCCAAAATGAGCAAGATTGAGAGTTCTAGCCCGGCCCAATAACGTCGAGGTATTGAACCCGTCTTGCCAAAATGAGCAAGATTGAGAGTTCTAGCCCGGCCCAAAAACGTCGAGGTATTGAACCCGTCTTGCCAAATTGAGCAAGATTGAGAGTTCTAGCCCGACCAATAACGTCGAGGTGTTGAACCCATCTTGCCAACGAGCAAGATTGAGAGATCTAGCCCGGCCAATAACGTCGAGGTATTGAACCTGTCTTGCCAAAATGAGAAAGATTGAGAGTTCTAGCCCGGCCCAAAAACGTCGAGGTATTGAACCCGTCTTGCCAAATTGAGCAAGATTGAGAGTTCTAGCCCGGCCAATAACGTCGAGGTATTGAACCCGTCTTGCCAAAATGAGCAAGATTGAGAGTTCTATTCCGGCCCAAAAACGTCGAGGTATTGAACCCGTCTTGCCTACGGGCAAGATTGAGAGTTCTAGCCCGGCCAGTAACGCCGAGGTATTGAACCCGTCTTGCAAAAATAGCAAGAACGTGAGTTCTAGCCGAGGTAAATAATCTTGGAAGATAGGGGGACACCCTTAGATTCTCAAGTTCTTGCGGAGAAATCAAAATTATTGTTAAGAAAGCAGCACATCCAAGTTTTGATAAGAAATCAGACTTGCGGAATTAAATGAAGAGATTACTATTATTACATCCCGGCAGCCTGGACAACCAAACTACCGGGCTGGGGGGCAACTGTTATGGACCTGACAAAGGCCCATATTCTAGAAGGACCAATAAAGGACAACACAAAGGGAAAAGAATCTCCTATTGATGACGATCATATCCAGACAACTAAGCAGTTGGACTTGGGCCCCCAATATTCCTAAGAGGCCCAGAGGTACCCTCTTTCAGGTAACCCATCTATAAATACAGGGTTAAACCAATAAAGTACACACTCTCTAAACCCTCTCTCTTAGCTTGTCACTGTGCACACACCCCACGCCTTGACTATGTCGATATTATTGTGCACAGTGATCAGCCTACCCTCAAGGATTTCTCATTCATAGATACCTGAGAAAGGGTACCTAGATCCTACATAAAATATACCAGCCACCGATTAGACATCTCTGTCTTTCAGACAGAAGAGAAGCATTCAAAGATACCCTACTCCCTCACAGTGGTGATAGGGAAATTTGTATGTATACGTACTATTGGATATAAGTGTGGTATACCTCTTATGCGACTTGTTTCATCTTCTTTGTTGCGTATAAGATAAAAAGAAATAAAAAATGTATGTATATCCTTGCTAAAATAAGCCATTCTATTAAGCAGGAAGCAAACGAAGATACCCTATTCCTTCACGGGGGTGACAAGGAAGATTGAATGCATACTTTTGGATATATATGAGTGTGGCATATTTCTCATGCGAATTGATCTTTCATTTTTTCTGGTTGTTTCAAGTTCTTGTTGAGTTTCTTCTTATTATTTAATATTATATGGTACGTAGATCATGGCGCCTATCACCTTGATAAGTAATGTATGTACCATGCAGGGAATCTTGATATGCATGATTCTTTATTTCTTTGTATATACTTTTTTTCAATTTCTTGTGTCATTCTCTTTTGTCTTTTTCCCTGATTGACAAATATAAGGTGTGACATTGCTCTCTCTCGGAATACTTTGTCATTCTTCTGTCTTTTTCCCTGCTTGATAAATGTAAGGTGTGACATTGCTTTTGGAATAATTTGTCACTAATACGAGGTATATATCGATAAATCTGATTTGACCCGGCCGCGCACGACTGTACGAGTACTATTAAATTTGATGTTCTGTAAACAGTTTCGGCATTTTAATTAAGGAAAAAACAAATATTATATTGTAAGAAAAATTCTTAGATCATATCATATAAACAATCAATTGTGGGGTTCATCATTTTTAAAATGGGAAAGTGTGTATCATTTTAAAGGATATAAAGTTGTGTCATTTCAAGTGAGAGAAAAAGATAGATAAAGGAGGAGAGAGAATGAACAAAAAAATATAAAGGCGTGGGTCCCACCTTTTTGTGAGAGTGAAAGGATATAAGTTATGTTATTTAAAAGGATAAACACTTTTTCCTTTTAAAATACAAGAAAAATAAAAGAATTGATGGGTCCATTTTGTGTCTCTATAAAAAAAAATTCTTGGATCATGTAAAAGAAGAAAAATATTACCCTTAATTAAAATAATTGAAGTAGTTACAAAATGGCATTTATCAACGATTCATGAGTCGATGAAATTGATTTTAAAAAATTATTCCATTTGAATTGAAATTAAGTAAGTCTTATTTTGTTAATTGGATTTGGGTTCATTGGGTTCGCGTCTGCGCATAATAACGTTTTGAAATTCATGTTAATGAAAAGTAGGGTGTAATATGAACCAAGCCAAGACACATTTTAGTTTAAATGAGCTAGGTTGTTATATAATATTTCAGGCTAGATTTAGTTTGTTGGTTTGATATAAATCAAATTATAAGTTTGACCTAATTTGTTATTAGAAATTATTGGGCTTGCTCCGCTTATCAAGCCTTAAAAAAAATGATATGTTACACTTTGTAAAATATAGATTATGATTATTTTGTATGTTTAAGTTGATAAAAAATCAAAATAGTATAACAGCTGAAATAACATTACAATCCAAAATATTATTTATTAGAAAGTACAGATGAGACTTGCAAGTTTATAGGTCAAATCTTCTTTTGTGACCTGTTTTTTTTATAGTATTCTTTTAATGAGCTGAAGTCTGTGTTATTTTTAAAATTGATTAAGCTTAATCAGGCTAAAGTCATGCCAGACTCTAAGCCGTTCGAATTATTTACATTCCTAATCTAGAGGTTTAGAGTCCCTTAATCGTTTTAAATCATCAACAAGGGCAGTTAAATTCTGGTGGGATGACCCACCTTCTTGAATAGCCCGTCCAGCCTTTTTCCCAAACTCTTGAGCGCGCTGTCTGATTTCCTTAGCTTCATCACCACCGTCCATCAACTTCCTCACAGCCTTCTCTATGCAATCTCTGCCCACCAATTTTTTCCTCTCCTGATAACCAATGATGCTCCACTCCTCTGCACCCACCTCCACCCCAATCCCCCGCACCTCAGTTATCAGTTTCTCGTTGTAGAACTGCTCGTCATGCACCGGCCACGTGATCATCGGAACCCCAGCGCTGACAGCCTCCACGGTGGAGTTCCACCCACAATGCGTCAGAAACGCACCGACGGCGGGGTGGTCCAGTATGAGCACCTGCGGGGCCCACCCTCTAAGGATCATTCCCTTACACTTTTCTTCAAACCCCTTTGGTAGCCACTTGTCCTTCTCTTCCACGCTCTCGTCCTCCTTCCCCTTCTTCTCAGGTACCACCCATATGAATTCGTGACCCGAAGCTTCTATCCCGCATGCCATCTCGTAGAGCTGTTTATCCGAGAAATGACAAAGGCTCCCAAAGCATATGTAGAGAACCGAGTTAACTCGCTTTGAGTTGAGCCAACTCAGACACTCGTGCACGCTCAACACGCTCTTTTGACCCCTCTCTGCTTGCTCTTGAGCTGTTCTGCAAATAAGAGAGGCTGGGCCAAGATGCCATGCCTTGTGGCCCGTGGTTTTCTCGTAGTGCTCGATGTACTCTTCTCCGTCAAGCTCTGCGAAGTTGTTAACGATGAGTCCATAGCTTTTCAGCTCTGTCTCAAGCAGTGGTTCCATGAATTTGGTCAACCCTTTGGGTGGCGTTGCGTTCAAGGTGACATGGTGAGGAAGACCCCGAACGATAAAGGAATCGGGTTGTGCCTTGATGGACTCCATGGCGCAGACGGCGAAGAGGGAGAATCCATTGAAGGCGAGTCTGGGGATGCGAAGCTTGTTAGCGAGATCTTCCACCCATGGGAACAAAAAGTCGGCGACGATGCAATCTGGTGGGTGGTGCTCCATGAAATGCTCGATGGGTCCACGGAGCAGCATGGCGGCTTCATGGAACCTGACAGTGTTGGGGAGGTCGTTGAGGGCGGAGAGATTTTCGACTCCGTCTGGGAGGCCGAACTCTTGGGAGGGAAATTGAACGGTGTGAAAGGTGAGGTGGTGATGGTAAGGGATTGAGTTATGAAGGACTTTGGCGTTGGAGGGAGTGGTTATGATTGTAACATGGTGACCACTCGAGGCAAAGAGTGTGGCTATGTCACAGAGAGGGATCATATGGCCAGCTGCAGGGTAAGGAATGAAATGGAGTTTAAGAGGCAGTTGTTGAGGACAAAGAACACCCATTATAGTGAGAGTCGACAGATAGAGATATTCAAGTGAATCTCCGAGCGAGTTTACGCGCCTTGCATGTTGCATGGTGTTGAAGTCGAGGTACGTATTTATAGTAGAATTGAAACTGAAAATAGTAGCGTGCTCCTTGAATAAACTAAGCGTTCCCTTAGTTATCTGCTACAAAATTAAATTAAAGAATAATCCCGTTCCCACCAAGTTCAGGCGGCTCTTCGACAACTCAATTTAATTTACTCCTTTTAAAATTACATATCCCGTTCCCTTATTACAGCCGGCTCTTCCGCTAAATTACATATATAATTATCTGCCGCTTTCAATGATAATGTAGTACTGCCACGGAATCACAATTGCTGATGTATACTCTTACGAGCATATTACTTAGTTTCTTTCTGACGTGGGTGCTTATGCGCTCATGAAGTGGCATCTTGCTATCATATCTCGTGTTGAGGTGAACTCTCACATTTCAGCTCCATAACCGATTCATTAAATGGGAAGCTCTGTGAATAAACTATAAAGTAGTCAGATGTTGAAAAATATCTTCCATATTTTGTTAGTACAAAGTGTTCAGTATATCTTTCATTAAATTTAGAAAAAAAATAGTAGAATTAATTTTTTACTTTACCCATTCTTTTATGATTATTCATATTTAAGTTTCACATTTTTTTTAAATTGAATAAAGAAATACATAATCCTATAAGAGATATGATATTCTTACAGCCAAATGTTCTTACTATTAATCTACTACCAAGTACCAATCTAATATAATTATGTATTACCGATATTACATCAAAAACTTTTTTTTTTTTTTTTCATAAACTTTTTGGAGATTGTCTGCTAAAAGGTGGGATGTAACGACTGAAAAGTGATAATAAAAATATTTGGTAGTAAGAATATTCTACGTCATCCTATAATATCAAAGATATGCTCGTATGTCAATTTTGAGGGCTAAAATCTTAAGTCATGGGTGGAATTGCTTTCTATTTCCAATTACACTGTGATAACCTCTACGTTAATGGAATTGTTATGGAATTTTTGTTGCTAATTTCATCCTCACAATTAGTTTCTGCCGCAGATCCTTCACAAACGAGGTATGCGACAGAATTTGCTAGAGAAAGCAAATTAGCCACGAATTTTACGAGGAAAATTTTATTAAAATTCCATCTCTGCACAAGTTTTTTTCTAGTGATCACGTTGTGTTTAAAATTTAAGTTAAGCGCACAGAAATCTATTACGTTCTTGCGTTCTTATATTATGTAAATAGCTTATTTTGAGTCAAGTGATATCTTGCACAACAGATATTTGCAATAGAAGAAGAAAACAATTTATTTATTTTTCAAATGCCATGAGCTAACCACCACCAACCCCCAAATAAAAAGTAAAAAAATTGTCGATGAAGATCCAACGAGATAAGTGTTTGTTTTCCATATGATGGTAGGTCAGTTGATGCACGAGAGTTGAGTATGTGGGGATCGAGGGGTTTAAAGCGTTATTTAAAGCCTTAATTCTAGATCCCGCCTCGAATAGAATTGTCTCCCCAGAAGAATACATGTAATTTATCCGTACACAAAAATGTGTCTGATTTTAAGAGTTTTTTCTTTTAGCTTATCTTCTCTTATAACCAGAAGTTAATACAAACATGATTTTTACAAAAGCTCTTATAATAAAAATAGCTTTTTTATAATAAAGGAAAAAGTTAAAAGGCAAAAGTTTCTAGGAGGAGCTTTTTTAAAATTGTATCAATTTTTTTTTAAAAATTAACAGTTTTTTTAAATGAAAAATTTTAAATCATTTTTAAGTTAATTTTTTTTATATAATCTATTTTTTATATAATTTCATCAAACAATTTTTAGCTTTATTTTTAAAGTTTTTTTTTTTTAACTTCAATTTAAAAATAATTTTTAACTTAAAAAAAAATGTCAAACAAGCTTTACATAAATGCAGCGCCGCTTGGCATGCAGTATCGAAATACATAAAAAAATATGTCCGTAAGTGATTCACAAATCACAACTCACCAGCACATTCCTTGCTTAGCTCTATGAAATGATGCCCTTATACACGCAATTCTTGTATACGATACGCGCCCTAAAAAATTTCTCGTATATAATTTAATACTCACATCAATCTCATGTTATTTAAATTCCTAAGGTCAATTCACATAAAACTTGTGAAACTTAGAGTTACGAACTAATTGATTTTAAGGTTTGAAAGTGATATAGTGTAACTTACGGTTAAACAATTATTAGTTTTAAGTTCTAATCAGTGATATATATATAGGAGAAGGGTCTTTTGACTCTAGAGTAAAACTTACAACTCTTACTCCTCATCTCAACCGTTGATTTCCGTCCATCTAACTGTTATTTTAACAATTAATTAATAATTTATTTCAAATAAATAATAACAGTTAGATGGACGGAAATCAACGGTCGAGATGAGGAGTAAGAGTTGTAAGTCTTACTCTAGAGTCAAAAGATCCCTCCCCATATATATATATATATAAGGATTTACATTTCTGCAACTGCTGTGCGTGCAGCAATCAAAAACTTGCCATATATATACACTTGAAAGCATTAAATGCAGGGAATCATAACCATACAAAGAATGAAAGCATTAAATGTTGGGAATCATAACCATACACCTGTCGTTGTTGTACGTAAAGGATGTGCATGACAACCATTCTATTCCCTAGCACTGTTTCTGAAAAGAAACAATTCTTTTCTATTTCTGTTCCTTGGAACAGTTTCTGAGAAAAAAAATGTGTTTGATAACATGTTTTATTTTTATTCCGAGAATGAGAATTGCGTGTGATAACACAACAAATAATATAATAAAAAATAATTCCTATTGAATATAAATTTTTTTCAAATCATCACTTTCCTTTCCATATGATGTTGTTGTGGTGGTGGCGGCGGCGGTATGGCAGTGGTGGTGACAGTGACGTGGTGAAGATAGTGGTGGTGGTTGTGACGGCAGTGGCTGTGAGATGGTGGTAGTGGTTGGTGGCGGTGACGACGACAATGGTAGCGGTGACATGGTGGTGGTGGTTGTGATGGCATCATGGAGATGAGGGTGGTGGTAGCATTGGCTGCAGCGGTGGTGGTGGTGGTGACGGTAGTGGCTGTGACGATGGTGGTGGTGGTGGTTGGTGGTGGCGGCAGTGACGGTGTCGGTGGTGGCTGCAACAATGATAGCGGTGATTGGTGACAGTGGTGGTGATGGTAGCGGTGGTGTTGTGGTGGTGGCAGTGGCGTGGTGATAGGGATGGTGATGGTGGCGACAGTGGTTGCGATGATGGTAGTGGTTGTTGATGGCGGTAGTGGTGATGATGGTGGTTGTTGATAGCGGTAGTGGTGATAGTGATGGTGGTGGTGATGGTGACGGTGATATTGGTGGTTGCAGCGGTGGTAGTTGTGGTGGTGGTGACGGTGGCATAGTGGTAGTGATGGATGGAGGTGGCGGTGACATCGTGGTGGTGGGGGTGGTCACGACAGCACTAGTGGTACGACGACGGCAACAACGATGGTGGCGGTGGTCGTGTTGGGATTATGGTGGTGATGGTGATGATGGTAGAGATGGAAAGTGATTAAGTGAGATGAGTGTTTCTCATTTTGTGCCCGGGAACAAAAAAGCAGAAATTTTCTAATTCCTTTTTCTATTTCCCAGCACAAAAATTAATCTGGTTCATCTCGGGAACAAAAAAATAAACCGATTTTACCAAACGAGTTTTCTATCCATTTCTGTTCCCGAGAACAGAAATTAAAAAAAATTGATTATGGGAAGGTTGTCATGCGCACCCAAAGCGACTGCAGAAATGATTTCACCACATATATATATATATGTGTGTGAGATTTACATTTCTGCAGCTGCTGTACATGCAACAATTAAATACTTGCCATTTATATACTTAAAAGCATTAAATGCGGGGAATCATAACCATACAAATGATGAAAGCATTAAATGTAGGGAATCATAATCATACACCCGTCATTGTTGTAGATAAAGCGGCTGCAGAAATGATTTTACCTATATATATATATATATATAAAGTAATATTTTAACAATTTTAAAAGTTCTCAGTACTTGAGTACGATTGTTGCACTTAATATGTATTGTTATAAAATTGGAGTTGAAAACTGAAGGTGGCCCGCTGTTTAAAAATACTTTACTTAAAAATAAGGGAAAAGTTCATAAACTCTCTATTGTTGAACCAATGCAGAATTTCAAGATTCTAGAATTTTGATGATAACAAACAAAGCATGGAAAGAAGACTTCAAGTTGCAACAATCAAAAAGAAATAATTAACTAACATTCATGAAGTCCATCAAGATTCAAGCTTCAAAAGAAGAATCCAAGTCCAAGAAATTTCAAGTAATATACTTTAGGGCTTAGAATTAATTCTTAGGGTAATTGACTTCTTGCATGAGTAAGCTCAAAAATATTTTTGCTAAAGTACACGCATTAAATCATCATTTGATTACACAAAGGATTTATAGCATCACATATTTATAAAAGCATGTTTTCAAGATTCAATCAAGCAATTAAACATGTTTAAAAGGAATTTAAAATAAAAAAGAATGCTTATGAACGTATTTCCAACCTTTCCAACAGGTTGAGAATCGATTCCTTATGAGCACGAATTGATTCCCACTCTCTGGAAAAGTTGGGAATCGATTCCCTCTTGCACTAGAGGACGAAAATAACAACTATAAACGGCTAGTTTTGCGAAAATAGTTGGAAATAGCAAAACCCACTGATCTTGCACCTCTTTCTTTCTTTCTCTCTTTCTTTCTTATTCTCAATTCGCACCGATTTGATTCTCACTTCTGACGCAATGCGAGGCAATGATTGGATCAACACCTCCCTTCCCGACGATTAAATCTTTGAGATCTTTGGTTTCCTCAATTCCAAATCCACCCGCGACGCCTGCTCCCTCGTGTGCCGCCGCTGGCTTCGCCTCCAGCGCCTCTCCCGAACCACCCTCCGAATAGGAGATACCTGTTCCCCGGAAATCTTCCTCAACCGTTTCCCCAATCTCAGAAACCTATACATGGATGGAGCAAGTAAAAAAGCTCAATCTGTGCCTATTCTTAGAATAGAGTCTTCTAACAATATTTTGCATACTCAGCTCCCAAAGCATTGAATGAATAACATATCCCTAAGGGGGCGTTTGGTTGAGGAGAAATTTTTTGAATACTAGGGAAATGTAATTGACAGGGAAATGGTTGGAAAGTGAGTTTGGTAGGAAAATGTAAAAAAAGTTGTTTGGTTTGGAAAAAATTTAACCGTGCAAATTAGGTAAGGTTTACAAAGTCTATGTTTGGTTTGAGGTTAAATATAGATGGGAAAATAAGTGATAATTACAAAAATGTCCCTGTTTTTAAAACAAAAAAACTCTGTTCAATTATGTTATCATTCAGTACCTTAATTGTAAGATGAATAACCCAGGAGATAAAGGCCCTATACTACTCAGGCTGGAGACATATGAAACCAGAAGATTGAAACTTGACACGACTAACAAAATGTATGTGAAAAAAAAATTCCTTTCACAGACGTAGGTGAAAACATACAGAAACCCTTCTTTTTCATCTGAGCCTCTCATCCTCTTGGCTTTGGCAAAAGAGAAGCAACAAAGCAGAAAAAACCAAAAGAAGCTCAGCTCAAATTAGCCAGACTCAAACTCGCCTTCAAACTAGCAAAATACGAAGTGGGGGGCTGCTGACCACTCAAAAGAAGATAATATCACGAGGGTAATTTCGGTAGCTTTAATTTTTCACTTTCCAATTTAGATGGCTATCGACCAAAACCCACATCCAAGATCGCTTTCTCAACAGTTCGAATGCCCTGCTTTCTGAACGAAATGGAGAAATCCCAAGCAAATGGGATATATGGGCACCCTTGCGAAATTTGTCTACCAAACGAAGTCTTTGAGGATTGCCAAGTTCATTTGCCTAGCTAAATTGTAGGATCTCCTGAACCAAACAGGGTCTAATAACCTCTTGTGTAAGATAAATAATTTTTCTTGGGGAAGGATATACTTACCACCAAAAAAGTTTACCACCTATACAACCAACCTAATTACCGTTGATTTCCGTCAATCTAACGGTTATAATTTAGTGGAAATTATTAGATCTTATTTATTAATTAATTATTATTCCCAATAAATTATAACCGTTAGATTGACGAAATTCAACGGTGATTAGATTGGTTGTAAATGTGGTAAACTTTTTTGGTGGTAAGTATATCCAACCCCATTTTTCTTATATGAAATAAAAATTATTTCATACAACTCTAAAAGAGCGTCATTTTGAAAATTTGAGGAAAAATACAAAGTGCTTTGAAAAATTTATTTCTCCTTGCAAGATGAATTTTCACAAAACATCATGTATTTGTTTTAAAAAAAAATTCCAAAATATGTAAAGTTATATTATAGTAATAATTTTATCCTGAACCGTGCTTTAATAGTTATTACTGTAGGCGAGATATTAAAGTTTGCTTGTGGGAAGTGGTGATGCTTAAATATTGTAAAAGTTAATATAACTTTTTATTTAAAAAATTAAATGAATTGTACTTTTGTTAGGAATAAGTATGATTAAGTATAATCTTCTTCTTTTTATATTATAAAATTCAAAAACTAAATTAATTTTAAATTTTTTAATAGTATTTTTAAGTCAATTATAATTTATAAACAATATAATATACAACAGAAGAATTAAAATTTAATACATAATTATATAATAATGGATACTGATAAAAAAAATTAGTACGGGGGTTTTCATCGGTGTTTTAAATTTCTGTCCCACCCAGCGTTTATTCTTTTGGGTCACGGATCCCCTCTGATGGTTCGGGTTAGTAATTAGATCTTACTTGCACATTGACCCCTCTAACTCCCAAAATCCCCTGGTTGAACCCTTGACTCCCGAACCAGAGGGGTCACTGTTTTTTTTTTTAAATTATACACAAAATAACGTGTAAAATAAAAACTCGTTGATGCTTAGATTTATAACTAAATCTGAAATCTGAATCATTCTTCTTTTTTCTCTTTCGATCTTCTCTAACTGACTCAGACTTTCTGTTCCAGTGATCTCCTTCAATGTGCTTGGTTCTTCTTTTCTCACTATTAATTTGTTGTGTAGCCTCCTTTCCTTTATATTATTTATTGAGTAAGGAATTTTCTTTCACATATGTAATATTAAGAACAAGAAGGGTTGATTCATTAATTTCATTGGAATATGATATGTGTTTTATACTTTGATATTTTGATTAGATTGTGAATATTAATTTATAGATATAATTAGTTGAATTATATTAAATATATTTTAAATCTTTAACGATGATTTGTTTTTTTTGAATTTTATATATAAAATATACATTTATATTTTTGTAATGTATAAAACCGGATAAGTAAACCATCGTTTGAATCCGTAATCGTGTGACCCCCGACCTCGGCAGGGTTTTTAAACACTATCTTTAATTAAACAGTACAGTGGACGATGGGAGTAGCAGCCATGCCCAGCGGATGCAGCATCAGAGCAATCTGGATTCTCAACAACCTCGACGCCGTCGTTTTCTCCCGGTACCACCTTCTCCTTCCCTCGCACGTTCTCCGCGAATAGATTGAAGTTGTGAATTTTTAATTTGCTATTGTTTTTACACATTAGGAGATTTCCGGTGGTAGAGAAACGTTGGCGAGCTGCTTGCAACACCGCTAGTGAAAACGATCAAGTGTTCTCTTCCTTACCCACTGACTCTGACCTTGCTGATGCTTTTGTCGACAGGAAACATCGGTTAGTTACTCCCGGTTACGTACTGAATCACTGTATACACTCGAATTGTTGCTTTGGATCTCAACTGGTTATACAAATTAATCAATTAAACAAATCTCACTGTTGCAATTATGGTGTGAGTTTCCATGAGTGGAACATTTCTACTCACCTTCATTTCTATATTTTTAATTTCTCCTACTTGTTTGACATAATTGCATTTAAAAAATAAAAATAAAAATATTGGTGTTAATCTTCATCTCATCTTAGCTTTACTTGTTTGATGTGTTGAGTAACCTTTGTGTTTTGAATGATTTTTCATGCTTTTGTGTAGGGATGGATCTGCACAAGGGTTTGGCTTACGCAAAAGTCAATCATCTCCGGGATCAGATTCTTGGGTTGATGATCCCATTACTCGTCATATGATAGGTCTTTACATTAACAAAGAAGAGGAGGAACATAAGAATCTTTTGTGGCCTTTAATCTTGCACATAAAGGGTAATTACAGCATACTTGTTCTGCCATTGGTTGAGCCTAAGCATTTAAAGGCGTATGCAAGGTTATGTAAAAGACCTGATTGTGGAAGTGCTCTTGGTCTGGATGATGGTTTGTCTTCCCTCTTACTGGATCTACCATCGATAACAGGGTATGCTAAGTTACTTCACTTGCAAATGGCACTGACGTTCAGGAATTGTCCCATCCCAGAAGACTATCTCTTACATGTTATCTAGAGTGATTATTTGTTATTAGTATTTCATATTTTTTCAATTGAATTTCCCATTGATTTATCGGGTAACTGACCATGAAAGCGATTTTGAAAACACTAGTAAGAACATTATAGTTTTGCCACAGAATAAGATTTTGTTTAGCTTGTATTGGCAGATGTCATGGCAATTAGAGCTCCAACCTGGCTTGCATCTTATGACTGTTGATTCTCAACTTTTTAGCCATTATTTGGATTAAGAAAATATCAATTCCATCCTTAGACATTGTAGTCTTGTTGGCGGAAGTGGTTGATGCAAAAGAAAATGATGGGTTAGTTTTCTTGTTGGAACTTGATTTCCATGGATATTCTTAGAGATATAAAATGGTTCGTAACTGCTTAAGTTTTTTGGGAGACTGGTCCTTGACAGTCAAGTAAGAAGCCGTTATGATCACATATGTTCTAGAAATTGATCATTACTGCCCCAAACTTTTGTCATGAATAAATGGAATTTCAGCACTTGATAAAGTCAGAAAGTGACTCTTGCATGAGGAAACATGTTAAAGATAATATAGGACCGTTTATGGGTCTCCACCTAACAACTTAAGCTTTTAGGATGGTTGGTTCTTGGTAGGTAGACTAATTTTAAAATAGATGCTTTTGGTCTTTTAAGGTTTTCCCATTGAGTAAGGCTATAAGCTTTTAATTGCTTTTACCACTCATCTTTGTTTCTAGTGCTGACTCCTTTTCCTTTAAGGTGAGATTGTGACTTCAATTTTCATTTCTGTGCTTATCGTATTGTTTGGGAAAATAGAAAGGCCCTAATCTTAGGCTCTTCCTATATTGCACTAGAAGTGCACCTTCAGTGTGTTTTTTTTATATACCGAATTAAGTGTGCTACCATAGGTCCAAAGAAAGTTTGTTTGCAGTCTTGATGGCAGTGGAGTTTTACTTCATTGTATGTACTTTTACTAAGAGATATAGTGCCACTTTTGCCTTTCATTTCACAGGGCATTTATGATAGCACGTGCCATTGGTGACATAATTACTGGCGACACAGTAGAACCTGAAGTGATTGTAAATGCAGGTCCCTCTGTTGGAGGGCTGTTTGATTCACTAACTGGTAGTATAGGCATCTCTACCAGGGCGAAACCTGTAGCTCCATCAGTTGCTTCTTCCTCCCCTTCGAGTGCATCTGTACCAGGATCAGTTACAGCAGATACTCCAAAAATTGGGTCTAGGCCTTTGGATAAAGATGCACTCAGAACATTTATCAGTAGTTCAATGCCGTTTGGTTGGTACTTTTTATTGTGGTATTCCTCATCTCATTTTTTGTAGTGGTTTTTCAAGATAAGCTAGCGGTTACCTCTTGCTTGTAAATTTATTCTATCACTGTTTATTTTGTATACAGGCACACCCTTGGACCTTAATTATTCCAATATTTTTACTATCAAGGTCAATGGCTTTTCTGCATCAGATTTGCCTCCTGCAGACCAGAAGCAACCAGCTTGGAAGCCATATCTATACAAAGGAAAGCAGAGAATGCTGTTTACAATTCATGAGATTGTTCATGCAGCTCTGTACGATAGAGATGAGATTCCAGATACTATATCAGTTTCTGGTCAAATAAATTGTCGAGCTGATCTGGAAGGGTTGCCAGATGTGTCATTTCCCTTGGCAGGATTGAACACAGCAAACCTTGAGGTTTCATCATATCATCCTTGTGCTCAAGTTTCAGATCAAGGTTTGGATAAGCAGGGTGTGATGTTTTCTCCACCATTAGGTAATTTTGCGTTGATGCGTTATCAGGCAACTTGTGCCCTTGGACCTCCTGTAAAAGGATTCTATCAGTTGTCAATGGTTTCTGAGGATAAAGGTGCATTTTTATTCAAGTTGCATCTAATGGAAGGTTATAAGGCTCCTTTGACAATGGAGTTCTGTACTGTTACTATGCCCTTTCCTAGGAGGAGGATTATATCTTTGGATGGGACTCCTTCCGTGGGAACAGTTTCAACTTCAGAGCACTCTGTTGAATGGAAAATTGTGACAAGTGGACGGGGACTGACAGGAAAAAGTATTGAAGTGACTTTCCCAGGAACTGTCAAGTTTGCACCATGGCAAATCCAAAGGATGTCTTCCTCTAGGTCATCCTTTGGAATCGTTGATGATGAGGATAGTGATAATGAGGCAGAAAATGCTGGAAACATGGTTAATGAAGAACATTTAATGGAGAAAATGAACAAGGATCTTCCTCCAGTTGATCTAGAAGAGCCATTTTGCTGGCAGGCATACAATTATGCTAAAGTATGTGCCTCTCCATTTTTATATTTTATCTTTTAGTAGGGGATTTTCCTTATCTTTTAATATCTTATGAAGTTTGCGTTCTTTGTTAACTGAAATTTGGTTTCATTTGATTCTTTTGGTTTTTGATCAATTTATGGTTTTGTTAATTTTATTATGTCATCATATTCTTAGTGTTGAAATTTTAGGGATTGGATGGAAAAGAGAAAAGAGAGAGTATATTTCACTAATAGGACTCTGAATAAGTGTGTTTCAGTGATGGTACAAAACATTGACCTAATACTCATATTTTACTAATATTCTAGGCCAGATACAAGTATAGTACTCCTAGTACACACCCAGCCCAATTGGACTCCTAGCATAACTGGACTCTTAACGCACTAATAATCTTAACATTCTAACTCACTTTTGAACAAAATTTAGAATTTGTCCTAAATATTATATCTATTGAATTGGTTACCAGATTCATCGAATTTTAGTTCGTAGTTATAAGTTTATAATTTATCCTATGTGACTTGAGCACCATAAGAATTTTAGGCATTTGAGAATATGGTTTCATCTCTAATTGCCCAGAGTAGATAGCTGTTGGCATATAGTATAATTTAGTGCTATTTTGTGTAATAATTTAGTCATTTTCCCTCTTTTATTAATTTTTAATCTGATAAAATATCTCTTTCCTGTGTTAGCTGTTTATGCTAGTTTTGATACTCCTTGATGCTTAGAGTATCAATGATAATCATACCATGTTTACTAATTATGAATTAACTCACGGCTCCCAAGTATGTGTCCATCGTTCTGGGCTGGTCAGTTTAGCTTTTCATATAATAGTTGTGCTTTTGGGCGTTGTCCTATCATTATGCTACTTAATTGTCTATGAATAGATTGAATATATATATTCTATAAAAAATTATAGTAAAATTAATGAGCATGTATTTGGTTGGACTACATATGTTGAGAGTATGTTAAAGTCTCTAATTCCATAAAAGATTAGATTTTCTTATATAGTTATTTTCTTATCATCACAGGTATCGTTCAAGATTGTTGGGGCATCAGTATCTGGAATTGCCGTTGATCCTAAAACTGTGAGTCCACGAGTCTCTTTTGGCTGAAGCTTTTTTAGATAAAGAATGAAGATCCATATACTTTAGTTTCAGTACCACAAACATATGCTATTTTAGCATAATGGATAATTAACTTATGTTTCTATGTCTATTTGGTATTCCAAAGCCATTTCTTGTAGTATACTTATCGTACAACTTGTCCTTGTAACTCTGCGGAATCTCTTTGTTTTTCACTTCAAAGGCTAAATCTAGAAGATGAGTCATCAGCCATGCCGAAATTTTTACGTTATGAAACCTCTTCCTTTTCCTTTTATTTTGCAGGTGAGCATCTATCCAGCTGTAAAAGCACCTGTAGAGTTTTCAACCCAGGTATATGTTTGTGTAAGATCAGTGATTCATATTTTTAAGCGAATCCCACCAAATATGATAAATCTCCCCAAATTTTGTGCTCCTTCAAGTGTCAATGATATTTGTTCATATCCTTCATGATTTCTTGATCATAACCAGGTTACTTCTGGGGACTATATTTTGTGGAATACTCTTGGTAAGTGTCCACATGTTGCGGCTGTAAAGGTGTAAGTATGAATTGTCACTGGTGGATATCTGAATGTCGCGGACACCATGAGATGTGTGATGGAAACTATGAAATGATCTTTTATATTTCTTTGCTGAGTTGTGGGGAGACACAGACGATTGAATCCTGCTAACGAGTGTCAAATGAGAAAGAAATAAATACTTTTTGATTTGTGAATATATTAAATTTTTTATTTTTATTTAATAGAGTTTATATTTTTTTCCTTAACCAGTACCTTAATAGCAAACGCTGGCAAATTCATTTTTATTATTTCATTTGAGGCATTTATGTTTCTAACTTTGGAGATGAAATTTAAGTGTGCAAGTGGGAGTCTCATGTTAGCTAAAAATGAATCAAGTAAAGATAATACAAATGGAAATGATTCGTAAACACACTGCTTTAAAAATTTTGGGTTTAGATATAGTGTTAAATTTATTTATTTTGGTAGGGTTTCTAGGTAAACCAGGAGACAAAATATTATGAGAATTTTGTGTTGATGGTAGAGAGAACATGTGAGATATTAAAGAGAACGTTTGGGGATCAAATGTTTTTTTTTGTTTTTATTAGTTATTTAGGTTATATCTTATATGATTAATCTTCTTAACAGTCAAATTTCAATCAACAATAAATTGAGTGTGTCTTGCACTCATGCTAACACATCCAATGAACAAAAACAATGGCATTGAAGGGTAGGGGTGTAAATAAGTTAGGTTTTGATTTAAATAGATTAAGTTTGTGTAAAAATATTGGATCTGGTCTGACTTTAGGTTTTAAATTACAAGTCTGGTTTGACTTATATTTAAAAAATAAAAGTATTGAGTTAGGTCTGTTAGTCTGTTTAAGTCTATTAAACATTTAATAATTAAAATAATATTACTTTTTATTCAAAATTATTAAAATAATAATTTTATATATATTTTTTAAATAAATAATATAATATGGGTTGACTTGTAAGTTTATAGGTTCGATATGTAAAAAAAAATCTAAACAATAGACTTTTTTAAAAGTTTAGTCTTGTTTTATTTTACTATTTGTAATAGGTTAAAATTGATCTAATATAGATTAGACGGCAGACCTTGTAAATCATTAATGTTTGTAAATCATTAATGTCTGTGGATGAAATATTTAATTAAAATAAATATTAGGATTTGTTGTGGGAAAGATGCCACGTAGTAAACGTGTACCATACGTTAAGTGTGAAAAGAACAGGGGTATGAGACGTCAGAGCACCGAAAAGTTTTGGTGAAATCTTGAAGGACTAGGGCTGAAGTGAGAGAGAGAGAGAGAGAGAGAGAGAGAGTAATGGAAATCAGGGAAGAAGACAAAGTTAGATCTGAATCCGGTCCGGTCCAATTCAGCGGAGGAGAGTGTTAGAGTTGTTGAGACTTCTGATGGCGAAGATAGATAGAGGAGTTGTCCTCCTCACCTGAAATCAAATTCAAGACCGCGTTGCCTTCCCTCCTTTTCGTTAGCTTATTCTTCAATTGGAAACAGCTCATTGCTTTTGTTTTTTCAGTTTTAAAATAGGCATTGGGAAAAGGGAGAGTTGCCAATTGAAGGCTGTTGCTGTATCCTGTAAGTGAAGTCATTTTTCTCTGCCTGAAGTGGTGCTTGGAATATTCATCCCACATTCACTTTCGGTGAAGTATTGTATGTATATAACCAATTATGTCTGTTTGTTACTTGATTTTCAATTCATAGTGACAAGTCACATGATCATTGGGCTCCCTTTCATCTCATATCAATGAATTACCGTTTCTCTCTTCGGCTTTCTTTTGAGATTTAATTGGTTAGGTCACACTCACATGTGTATTTGAAGTTTAAAATGTCGTCAAGACCAACTGGTCATTCCATTCGTGAATATCTGCAACTAGCAAGAGGGAATTTAACTTTGAAAATCATGCATCAACATATAGAATTCCAGATCTTCATAATTCGTCACAAGTGAATTTTCAACCTTATTTCACGCACCGCTCAGGCAGAGGAACATGACCTCACCTCTCTTGGATGATGCACCACTCTACGTTGGCATCACTTTCTATATCCCAATGCCTATTTTAAAAATGAAAACATCAACACACTACACTGTTTCCATTTTAAACTATTGTAAAGGAAGACAACACTGACGAATTCTTAGATTTTGATTTTAGCCGACGAGGATGTTTTTATTAGCTACGAAGAAGAAATGTTTTTGTCAATGATTCGACTCCCTCCAAGTCATTCAGAACTCAGAACTCAGAAGGATATACTATGGAAGTAGTGACAGTAGTCTCTGAAAGGGTAAACTGTATTTTCTGCATCATTTTATACTCTACTCATTGATTTTACGTGTTTTACGTGATTCTGCATGTCTTTTCTTTTTCTTTTTCTTTTTAATATACATAAACTGTGCACATGTTAGTGATGTGCATTTTGCCACATTATTATAATGTCAATTGATTTTTTCCGATAGATTCTGAAATATGTATTGTTATGACCAATGCATAGCTCATTACGAGAACATCAGAACCTGCTTTGGTGAGGGGAAAGGTAGGGGAATGGAAGCAAAGTTTTCTAATTATTCCCCTTTTTTGCCCACCAACCCCAATTTATCCAAGACTTCAGAGGTATATACTTACTTTTCTTTGCCGCTTGCGCCTTTTTCTTGAACACCTCAAGAATTAACTCCAACTGTTTATTCGCTTTTGAAATTGTTACATATATGGAAATACTGTGGATACTTCAACAGTGTGGAGCAAACATGCTAGCTCTTAATACTCGACCAATTTCTTCTAATCATGGAGCAAACATAAACAAGATGGACAGTATCTTTCCTGATGATTTCTGGGGAGTGGACCCTTCCTCGTATGACTCAACATTAGATATACTTTTGCAGATCAACGGTATTGAAATTTCTAGTTCTCATAATTTAAGGATATGCTTTATTATCACTTATTATTATTACATATTTTTCTGGACAACTGGTATGGCCTAATGACTAGCCTTCAGAGGAGACCAAAGAAGATCGATCATATTAGCTTGTCCAAACATCTCGGACAGAACACATATGCTACTGACTAATGTGCTGCGGACGCCTTGCTAGTCTAGCTTAGAGGCTTCTCGGAGAAGCCTTGACCCCTTTGTAGCTTAGGCTTTTATGCTGTCCTATCCAAGCATTATCTTTAGGTGCCTCCCATGCTCTCTCTACTGGCCACTAGAGACTAAATTTTCATTGTATTAACGTCTCCTTGTTGTATAGTAACACGCAAAATCCACTCACAAACGACCTGTAAATTGTTCTGAGCTTAATTTACTATATGCCTCGTATGTCTATGAATGTAATTATTATTTGTATTTTAACCAAAGTGACTTCTCTGAAACAATCTGGTTTATGGAGTTTGCTGCACCCGTGGCAAGGATAAGTTACATGTAAATAATTATTTGTGTATGATGCTGGCTGAGTAGAAAATATTATTTATGTCCGCACATTTAGTGATGGAGCTGCCTCCGAATTTTTTTTAAAATAAAATTTTAAATGCATTAAAAAATAAAAAATAAAAAATATAAATAAGAAAGAAAAAACTTCAACTTAACATAAAAAATTATTTCCAACATCTTTTTTTTTATCAAGCTGATTTGTTGATGGCATCATAAAATATATGTCATTTCATCTCATCTTATTGTATTTCATTCATTTTTATTTCATCCTTTACTATATATCTAAGTAAAGTTTAATTTAATCAACATCATATTTTATTATTATACTTAAAAAAAAAAAAAAAAAAAATTCTGGAATTCATATTCGTACTTGCGGGCTACCAAACAGGTCCGCCTCTGTGCTGTTATGAAAAGAGTGTGTTTTGTTCTTCTCTTAAACAGAACCAGTCCAATGATAATCAAATCCGTACTGTAACATTCCCAGCCTCGAGCCGGTTCAATTAACATGCATGTGATACTTAACAGAAACAGCGGAAGACTTAACTTACGAAAATATGAACTAACTTTTTCTTTTTCTTTAATCCTTTTTCACATGACATATCGCATTGCATACTTCTTCTAATTTAATTCTTATTTTACGAAGACGAAAATCGGACAGAGTAACCTCTGTAAATCGGACAACTGGGGATTTTCCAATCCCACTCTCAAGAGTTCCTGATAGACAGTTTAAACAATATATATTTCCAGAAGTACCAGTCATGCAAATATACTCAGATACCCATCTATGGGCGCATGCTGAACTTGGCTCCGTGCCACAAATCTAATAGCATGCAATCCAATACATAACCTAACTGAATACTACATAGTCATATCTTCATGCCTGAATACATAAATGTACATGTATCGAATATGAACACTATGCAACAATACATCTTTTCCAAAAATACGTCTAAAACAAATAGTAGCATCCGACCACCCAAAACTCCACATCCTCATACTAGTACCTCTAGCCACAGTTAGTGTCCTGGTCCCATGAGGCTCTTCAATTCACTGTGTTCCTGAAATCATATCCCCAAACGGGGTTAGAGACGAATCTCTAGTAAACTCCAGGTTTATGGAAAACCCTCCATACCTTGGGCTCACTTCCTGCATGACAGTCAGATACATAATATACAAAACATCATATAAGCAATTATCATAACTGAACAAAGCATATATACATATCTTATCAAAGACAAACGCAGTCATTCCCAAGGGATGACCCCAAGCGAAAATCAACGCACGTAACAAATATCTTTTACAAAAATCATCACAATACTCACATCAGAACAAAACGTGTTATATCAGAGACGTACGCAATCGTTCCCAAGGGATGACCCCAAGTGGAAATCAACGTATGTAACAAATATCATTTACAAAATCATCATACATATCCCATAAAACATGTCATATAATCAAATATCATAACTAAACAAAACATATACACATATCTTATCAGAAACGTACGCAGATATTCCCAAGGGAGGACCCCAAGCGGAAATCAACGCACGTGTTCCCAAGGGAGGACCCCAAGCGGAAATCAACGCACGTGTTCCCGAGGGAGGACCCCAAAGCGGAACCAGAACATATCAGAGGCGTACGCAGTCATTCCCAAGGGAGGACCCCAAGCGGAAATCAACGCACGTGTTCCCGAGGGAGGACCCCAAAGCGGAACCAGAACATATCAGAGGCGTACGCAGTCATTCCCAAGGGAGGACCCCAAGCGGAAATCAACGCACGTGTTCCCGAGGGAGGACCCCAAAGCGGAACCAGAACATATCAGAGGCGTACGCAGTATTCCCAGGGAGAACCCCAAGCGGAAATCAACGCACGTGTTCCCGAGGGAGGACCCCAAAGCGGAACCAGAACATATCAGAGGCGTACACCATCAGTCCCGAGGGAGAACCCCAAGCGGAAATCAACGCACGTGTTCCCGAGGGAGGACCCCAAAGCGGAACCAGAACATATCAGAGGCGTACACCATCAGTCCCGAGGGAGGACCCCAAAGCGAACATCCGGGTACTATACAATCAATGGCCAGATATTGTTACAGAAATCATATTACAGAAGTCATATCATAACAAAACATATCATATTAACACATATCAAAGCAAATACATCAAAACAAAACATATCATATTATCATATAGCTCTATATGAATGCATTTATATCATATATCTCATACATATCATACAACCTGACCACAGTCCGTACACTATGGCGGAACACAAAGTAGGAGCGAACCCCATAAACATAGAGCTTACCTCTTGGAGCTTTACAGTTTGCTTACTTGAAGAGCAAGCTACTTATCATGCTCCACGAGAATCCAAACGTTCACAGTAGGTACACCTAGAGAAGGAATTCAACACAAAACTCAATAAAATGATATAATGCCATGTAAATATACAAGACACACACTTTATTGTTTATTTTCTTTTTACTTAAATCATATTAAGTCATGAGTGGGTGGTTCTTTGTTCAATAAATCCCCACAAAATTTCAAACATTCACTTAGTCTTAGGATAGTCCCAACTTAAGGCAGAATGCCCATTACAATGGAGCTATAAGATTTCTCTTTGCCTAGTGCCTAAACCCAAGCTTAGCCACCTATATAAATTATTTTACGCATATAAGTGTTCTCACTTTGCGAAATGATATCTCCGAACATATACCTCCTTTGAAAATGGCTAAAACTCATTTTAAGGTCATACAAAGGAGCTACCTTATTTTCTTTTTTATTTCACCAAAGCGAAGGTCCATACACCTTAGAATATTATTCCACGCATAAAAGTATGCTCGATTTGTAAAACAGTAACTCATAGCACATACTTCCTTTGTAAATGGCTAAGAGGCACGTAAAGGAATTCATGCCAACTTCATGATTCCAATGCTTTAGTCCATCAAATTCAAGCTTATCACACACCTCTAATCCAAGATTCATTAATTCATATATATACGGTACTACGGTACCGTTCATCTCTACAATACTATTCATGTATACGTCACTATTCACGTATACAACACTATTCAAAAATATGGTATCTTTAATTTTTCAGATACATTTTCACCGTTAAAATTCTCATCTAAACACTTTTCTCAACATGAGCTAAACTTGAATCAAGCTCTAAGATGCTCAATCAAACCAAATTTTCAAAATGAAACCATAAATTCAATCTTCATAAAAACATGAAAAGGAAGGGAATTTCTTACCACAATGCACTCTAAAACAAAGGAGAGATGAGTATCTAAGCTCCCATGGCCTCAAGCTCCATCAAAATCACCATTATCCATGAAATTCGAAATCTTAGATGATGAAGATCTCTCTCTACAGTGAAACCCACCCAGAAATACTGGTACCAATGGATTCCTCTCGAAATTTCTCACAAGTTTGGCTTTGGAACGGAGTGATTTGGAGGTCTCTAGCTCTCTTTACGAATTTTGGAAGGTTTTTATTCAAAACCTCAATTTCTCTCATTTTGCTCTCTGTCCGACGACGAAGAATAATGGGGAAACAGTGACTCACTACTCACTTAAGTGAGTTTATTTTACTAGTGGGTATAAGCTTATCTATCTATGCACCTCCATTTATTACCAAACTTCACCCAAAAGACTAGAATATTTTTCTAGTCACTTTTCTATATTTACTTTCACTTTTTGGATAACTTTATTTACCCGCATTTTTACCACTTAACTGTCATTTTAACTCCTCTTTCACCAAAAGTGACTTTATTTCTTTTACTTCTAATTATTCTTCAAAATTAAATCCACAACTACTAGTGATGGTTATTATACGTACAAAGTAGCTATAGAGCTGATGTTGACAGGTGATTACAGTTTGCAAGATAATCTAGAGAATCGTAGAGGTTGGAGCGTGTGCACTGCTTGATTATATTTGATTGTGAAGCAAACTTGTTTGTTTGTGTTGCAAGCTACGCTTGAGACACGGACATCATTCTATCCTTCGGATAGAAAAATTGAGTCTCATAAAATTGTAGAAATGTCATAATATTTATTTACAAATTACAGTTAATCATGTACCAAAATTGAGTACAATTTTGCGAAAAGCTGAAGCTGTTAGCACTGACCCAGCCATTATGCAATTATAAGTGTCAAACCCAAAAAGAAAGGGAAAAAAAAAAAAAATACTAAGACAGAAAGGAAAAAAAGAATTTACAACTCCACTGCCTGCTATTGGAGGTGTTATTTCCTTTTCCGTCAGCCAAATTTGAGTTAGAAAACTGAAAATATCCTGCAGCCCCCCATGTCATTCGAATCGAACGCATTGAATGTTCGCCCTCGATTTACTAGCTTAATTTGTTTCTCTCTTTTAAACAACTCTCTCAAATCTTCTCATTCTTCAAAGAAGTGTCTAGACGACCGATATAAATCGTAAGGAGCCCATAGATGGTCCACAATGCATGGCTTCCGAGAATCTAACCTCAACCATGGCTTACCCTTCCCACTCCAATGCAAGAGACTAATGGGACCAGGGTGTAGGGTCCTGCATTTACCTTCAAAGTTATCCCCGCCTAAACCATGTTGGTTCCATCTATGATCAACAGCTTTAATATTCCCTGCCAAAACCAACAAAAATGGTGGAAGAGAGCCTAAATGATAGATCCTCTTCTGCTGCTTCTGCACTGCCATCCATTCCTCAACCTTCTCTGTATAGTTTTCTTTTCTCCATTTATCCACATCCATTATCATCACTCCCGTGTTGAAGTAACACGGCTTCCTTCCCTCAAACGTCTTTGACATAACCGGGTCTGACCAAAAATTATCAGTGAAATATAGTGTGAAATTTGCATGGCAATATTCAGGGGCAGCCACTACCTTGCCTTCCATGTTTACCCCCCAAAGCTTAGCTATATCATCAACAACGACGAGGTCAGAATCTAAATATATTACACGTCGCACATCCTCTGGTATAGTATCTGCAAGGTATATCCTTGCATAATTCAAAGGCTGATCCAATGCCTGTCGAATGGACTTTGATATCTTGCCACGAACCCTGTTAGAATCAAAGCGATAAATCTTCATGTTTAGATATGGGAAAGTGGATTTGATGCTGGAGAATAGTTCAGGAGCATCGTGTGCGGATAAGAAGTAGAAGGCGAGGTTCTCTGGGCATGTAGAATGTTGTAACATGGACAACACTGCAGCCATGGTGCCACGAAGGTAGTTTGCATCAAGGGTCATGGCCACGTTAATGCGGTCAGCCTCTGTGGAGCCACATTCCTCACCGTTGCGGAAGGCGGGGGCTTCCCGGAAAAGAGGGAGGTCCGGCGTTGGTCGCCGGACAAGGCCAAGGCGGATAGCAGTGAAGGGGTGGAGGAGGAGGAGGAGGGACAGGAGGCCAAGGAGTACAGAGGAGGTGGAGCTCCAAAAGACCATCCTGTCTTAACAAGGATTGTTGTTTTGTTTTGGTTGTCCACAAGAGAATCTGGGTTTTGGGAATGTCAGAGAATATAGGATAGATAGATAGATAGATAGATAGATAGATAGATAGAGAGAGGAAAATCTGATGAAGAGACAACATTGACTTACGGGGAAATTAGATTGTGAGTGAGAAATTTGGTTGGTAAAAATTGTGAGGAAGAGAGAAAGTGTCGGGTCTATCTTTGACTTGGGACTGGACTAATTTAGAAACTTGGTTTGAAGCTTCAATAGACAATAGACGGAGGTCAATATAATAGACAAATAAATTAGGTGTTTCTTCTCTTCTCTTCTCTTTTTTGCCTTTTTCTTTTCTTAGAAGACTCTTATTTTTCAAGTCTTCTTTGTATAGCTAATAAGATTAAAAGGTCATGGTCAATCGAAATTTTACGTAAAATTATAAGGGGAATAAAAAAAATCATAAAACATAAAATCATAATGTAAACAAATCATAAAAACATAAAAGTGTTTGGAATATTGATAAAATCGTTTTGATGAAGAAAAAAAAATCGTAAAAATATAAAATTATAGTGATAAATCAAAATTTTAACTAAAATGAACATGACAAATTTATGAAGACCGAAAGAGGAGAGACTCTAAGTGAATTGGCTACAATTAATACTAATAACGGGCACATCATGCGCATGTGATAAAAGAGGAAAGACTCACCAGTTTATTTGCATTACAATGGCAAGTTAGGGGGGCAAATATCCCTTCCAAGCTCTAACCACGTATTCAAATTAATTTAATTTATTTTGTCACTTTAAGAAGTGGACTACTTCATACGCTTTATTATCGCCTAGTTAGGCTTTTGTTGTTGTTATGTGAATGTATTTTATTTGCTCCTTGGCAATCCATGTGTGCATCTATTCTATATTCTCTTCCCTTTGCTTGTTGCCTAAATAACATTCTAGCATGTGAAGTTGTGAACTAATTGTTTCCCTAATCCCTATCGTCATTATTTATCTTGTTTTTATGCATTTTCTTATTTATTCAAGTTATTTAATTCGGTAAATAATATACAAAAACACGAAGACATTTGTATGGCTATGACTCTGGACGAGTTATTGTTTATTTCAGTTGTATTATACCTTGGATGAGATCTAATGACTGATGTTATCTTGTTATTTTCAGTGGAACTTTTTTCATACAAAAATTCACAAATAACTTAGTAAATAACATTACTTTGTTTATTTAAAAGCTTCAGGATTTGTGGATTCACTAAGCTAAACAGCTCTAAATTACATTTGTAGATGAAAATATCATATCACACTAGCTACATAGCTGGAGATTCTCAAGTCTTACAACAAAAATACCTCAAATTTATAGCGAGCACTTTACAGCCCTATATTTTGAATACCCAAATATGCATGGATCCTACAATAGCAAGTGCACACTATAATAAAAATAAAAAACATACACCAGCAGAGTCACAATTTAGCCTCTAAACAGCAATGTTGCAATTTAAACTCTGTCCTATACATTAAAAGCATCAAGACTTGTGAAGTAGCCCTCTAAAACAGGAAGGTGCTACTCCAACCACGTGAAAATTGAAATAGTAGCGTTACTTACACGGTTACACCCTCTGCGACCATTCAGATCAAAACAAAGAGACAAGTATGACAACATTGGAAGCTTCTCCACCCACTTCACATACAAAGCCTTCCCTCTCATCTGAAAGCCTTTGTGGTTTTGTCATGATGACATCTCCCATGTCAGCACCACCTCAGAGTCTATCACTTATTGGATGTATTTGCTTCGATCTGTTATGAAAGTTGAAGATGACATTGCTGCACTAGAAACTAGAAGATTAAAAAAAATTAAATTTTGAAAAACAGTAACAAAAAAGTGGAATAAAATTTCCCAAAATTGCGTAAGTATTTTTATGGATGAAAACTTGGGAAATCTCTAAAGATAGTAAGCTGGTGCGGTGAGGTGAAAGAGGCCATGATTGGGTGTTACTCTTCTGTATATCATACTTTTATTGTACGGGAAAGTAAACCAATAAGAGAAGACAATAGACAAAACAGGGGAATGAGGGGAAGGTAGTGAGGGTCACGCAGCAGAATGATGCTTGGGTGGAGCAATCAAGAGAGATTCGAATTTTGCTAGAAAAAAAAATAGATAAAGACATGCATTTGTATTCAAAATGAATGTGTGTGTGTGTGAGAGAGAGAGAAATAGAGAATGGGGGAGATTTTTTTTAAGCACGAGAGGGATGATGTGGCGTGTATGAGAGGAGGGGATTTATCATATGATATGCATGTGTTCTCTCTCTCTCTTTCTATTTTGTATAGGTATGTCCATTTTTCGAGATAGATTTATCCCTGGCATTGGCAGGGCTCGAGGTATCACATTACTCATTACAAAGGAACTACAATAATTTGGTCACCTTGGCTAGTGGTAAGGACCAGGGTATTTGTTTATGTTATTGTGGGGACTTCCTATGAGATTGTCCACTTAAAAGTTCGGAAGATGTTTCGTTTGCTTTAACAAAAAAAAGAAAAACTTAAGCACTCCTATGAGGAATGATTATTGTGGGAAGTGGGAACCATCCTTTGTAGTTCTAGATTACTATTTACTACCGCTACCCTTATTTTTTGAGAAATGTTTCTTTTGCATACTGTATGGACCATATTAAGGTCTTCTCTAAGTTCATATATAATAAAAACGAATCTAATCCAACTAAGTTTGGGATGAAACCTCTTTATTTTATATTTGCATGGTTGATTTTCCCAAAAATTTCCTTAAGCATGTTCATACTACAATCATCAAGATCCTACTTCGATCATAATTGTTACATCGTAGTCTCACAATTACTTAACACTTGGGCTACAACTTACAACGAAAAGAATAAAAAATTGAGAGGATGCATTATCAGGAATGTTTTGGCCATAAAAGAATTGTTCATTTTCCTCCAATAGTTCTCTACCACTAAGTGCACGGGATTAAAGTCCTGTTTATCTTGTATAGCACATCATTTTATTTTTATTTTTATTTTTTTATGGAGGAGGGAAAAGTCAATGGAAAGGAATAAGACGTATGAGACCCACACCAATGAATGAAGCTCTATCGAATGATATTGACTTCACGAGAGCTTGAGAAGAATATGCCTAGATACAAAGATAAACATGAATGAAGCAGCCAACAACTTCCATGGCTTCTTCAGCCTTGGGGGCATGCACTAAATCATATTAAAAACATGATAAGGGGAACCATTTCCGAATCTTGAGTTGCAGCATAGTGGGCACCCTAGCAAGCATTTTGTCGATATTGTGCGCATGATACAGTAGCACTTCTATGATGCTCATTGGTTATGCACATTCAAAAATTTCCAAAACCACACTAACCCATTTAATTTGCGTGAGCTTGTGAGCCAATTCACCACATGTGTGCCAAAATCTGCGCGTGCTAGTGCTAGCAAGCAAGTATGGCGGCTTAAGCCCGCTTGCTCCTTACCTACTAATGCCTTTGTCTCGCAGCTAAGGGCATGGTGGGGACCACATGTCTCCCAAATCTAATTTAACACTTGAAACAAAGATGGACCCCTCTGTAACCATGAAGTTGGGACACATGCTGGATGATGTGTAGCCCCATGGGGTCATCCACGGTGCTTGTCGAGGGGACACATAGTGGGACCAATCATGGGTTTTGGGTTTGTATTATTATGATGAGATTTGAGCTAAGGAATGAGAAGTATGATGGTAAGGGAAGAAGGATGTGGCATTCAAGCTTGTAGAGGTTTAGAAAGGTGTCACTACTTTTAGTGGGGTCAAAATTTAGGATTACGGTGGGTTTCAAGTTTCAGCTCTCAACTTTTAACTCTTTTTTGAAATCTCCTTTTCTTTGTCAAAATCCTCCCTCGCCAACAATTAATTGAGGTATAAGATTTGGCTTGAAAATTTTTATGTAAAAAAGGTGGGATTTTTGTTTGTTCGAGACTTTTTAAGTAAGATTTGATTCAGCAACTGGTTGTGTTTTCTTTTCTTTTGTGATGACTGTAAATGCAAAATTGTGGAGTGTGTGTGTTGGTATGTTGGGGTTGGCTACCTTGCGTGTGAGAGTGTGAGATAGTGTTTGAGTTTGGTGGTGCGCGTGCATCACAAAGAGGTGGATTGTGGTCATAATGGAGGCTGCCAGCCACACCCATTCATTTTATTCATGAGGCCATACATTCTGAATCATTTCTACCTCTCAAAACTGAAAATTTTGATTCTGAACTCACAAATTTTCATCATTGCCTTTCCTTCCTCCAACCTTTCTCTACTCCTCTTCACCCCCTAAAGTTTGTTTATTCATTCCCCTTCTACCATTTGATTCTAGTGTTCTATCTTTTTGTACATTTCTTTTTCTTTTTAAAAATAACTCTCTCTACTTATCTTTATACTAATTGAGGGGAGGCTTCTGCAATATTGATTATGCTGGATTATTGGTATAATGTTGACAATACTCTTAAATTGGAAGTCAAGGAGACCAACTATATGATGAAGAAGGTAGTTTTAGATGTAAGCAGAGACCCGCTACCAAATCTTCCTCTAAAAGAACATGAAGCACTAATTACTCACTTTTACTTCGCAATTACTGTTCCTTCCACATCAAATTAGTTAACATTATGATCCAAATCAACTTAATGTCCCCCAAATTGGAAGAGAGTTATTATAGTTAAATTAGGGTTCGGTGAGAAACAAAATTGCAAACTGAACAGCATTTATAAGCTGTGTTTAGCAGGAAATATTAAAAATAAATAACTATTAGAATCAGAATCAGAAGTATCTGATGGTGTTATAACATGTCATAAAAAATATTAAGAAAGAAAAAGGCTCAACTTGACATAATGATAAACGTTATTTATTTTCTAACTCGAGCTTTTCAAAACTAATGACTTGGAGAATAAAGAGAATCCTTTTTAATTTCGATGCTGATATGGTTAACAAGTGTGCATGCATGCTTTGATAAATACAGAAAACAAGTTGATAAAATAGATAAAATAATGATAATGCCACCTAGCTACATGAAATTGCATGAAGAATAAGAATGATGTGAGTGCTTTTGATTTCACGTACGGGCCTCCCTCATTCAAGGATATTCTCATTATTTACATGCCACGCCTGATTCCTTTTGGTTTTTTCTTCTTCTTTTTTTACCTTTCATAGTTTTATTCTTCAGCATAATAATAAGGGTTATGTTTATCTCATTTTACATGAGATAAACATCTCTCCTACACACACAAAAAAGGTTGGGTCCCACCACTTTTTTTTTTCTCTCTCCTCTTACATGTGGGTCCCACTTATACTTTTATTTCTACAACATGAGGTAATTCTTTTCCTACAACATAAGAAAAATATATCCCTAATAATAATTATTATTCTAACCCCAAATATGGATGACATTTTGGGCACGTCAAATTTTTTTGTTAATTAACGCCTGCTCTCTTAGGAATAGACAATGTTGTCTCCATCATCTGAGGTGTTTTCACTTTTCCATTATGCAGTAGCCATTATCACCATTAGAATGTGCTCGTATCAAACAAAGTCCCAACTGATTGGTACTTTGTTTCGAATTTTACTTTTTGGTTGCAATTTAACTAAGCTGTGCTGAATTTTTAACCTCTGCTGCTTGTGACGTAGCTCTAATTAGAATTATCTATTACGTCTACAGAGCTAATAATTGTTGTCTTGCAGAACAACAATACAACATCTATAGCTCTGGTTTATGATTGTGTTTCAATTTTATTAGAACTATCATTCAAATAGTTACGTTGAATGCTGAATTTTGACTCATGAATCTGAATAGCACTTCCTAGATCTTAATTTGCCTTTGTGATTTTGAAAAGAAGTTTATGATATGGTTTCAATACAATTATGTTCGATATTTCCCTGCATCAGTTCAACCAATTGTTATAGTCAAAATAGGTCCCCCTTAACCTTGAAACTTCAAATTCTCCCTAGATTAAATTCTTAATAACAAGAAAGAGAACTAACTTTAAATACCAGAAAAGCCCAAGATGTATAAAATAATCTTTAAAATATTAAAATATATTTTTTCTTTAACCACTAAAGTCAGTTAATTAATAATAATACTAGACTGCTATATCATGAGCATGTAAGTTGGAGAACTATTTGATGTGATGATTGACTATCTTTAAATTATTTAGTCGAATCCAAAATCTATTAGGGAGAAGCAAAAGACAGAAAAGCACAAGCACTGTTCTTGGAAACTAGCTAGAGGTAGAACTAGAAATCTAGAACATTGATGAAGGCGAGTGGGGGAATAGGAAGTGACAAAGGAGCAAGAAATTGATGAGCGTGGCATAAATTCCGTTTCCTGTTGCTTTCCCTTATGGAAGAGAAGATTGCACTAAAAAAAAAAACTTCACAATTTGTTGCATATATATCATCATCCTATTCACTTCATTATGCCTACAATCATGATTCTCGGTTCCATCACCCGCATGCTCTCTTCTAAACACCCTCACTGCTTCCTAAACACTCACACTCATTCTGATCCACACACCTATAAATCACATTGACCCCCCCAATCCTTTCTCTCACCTCAACCTCAACATTCCAATCAAATATTTTCTCTCTCAGCTTCTTGAGCTAGCTTTAAGTTTAACCAACCCTTTTATCTCCTAATAAAACTACTCTGTTTTCCTCTGTTACATCTCCTTCTCCTTAACTAACATACACACTCATCCCAATGGCCGTCTCTGGTTTTGAAGGGTTCGAGAAACGCCTGGAGCTCCATTTCTTTGGCGATGATCCAGCCATCTTCCAAATGGGTCTGAGGAAGCTTGATTTTGAATCAATACAAGTTGTCCTAGAAGCTGTCCAATGCACAGTGGTTTCAGCAGTTGGCAACTCTTACTTTGATGCCTATGTGTTATCAGAATCCAGCCTCTTTGTTTACCCAACCAAGATCATCATAAAGACTTGTGGCACAACCCAACTTCTCAAATCCATTCTTCCCTTGATCAACTATGCTGAACAATTAGGCCTCACACTCTTCTTTTGCCGCTACACCAGAGGAAGCTTCATCTTCCCCAAGTCACAGCCTTTCCCTCACACCAGCTTCAAGGATGAAGTGACCTACTTGGAAGAGACCATCCCTACCAATCTCTGCTACAAAAAAGCCTCAATTATGCCCTCTAAATCTTCTTCTCATTCTTGGCACGTTTTCACTGCCAATGATGACTCTCACTCTCCACTACCTTATCACCATGACAATGACCTATTCACCATGGAGATCTGCATGACTGAGCTTGATCCCATCCTCGCCCTCAAGTTTTTCCGGCGAGCCGGGGACAGCAAAACCGGCGACTCTGCCGGGAAGGAGATGACAGAGCTCACAGGGATCAATGAAATCAATCCAAATGCACTTATTTGTGATTTTGCATTCGACCCATGTGGGTATTCAATGAATGGCATGGATGGTGATTGGTACTCCACCATTCATGTAACTCCAGAGGATGGTTTCAGCTATGCAAGCTTTGAATGTGTCGGTTCCACTAACGACAACATAGTCCATATGTTGAGGAAGGTGATTCAGATTTTCCGTCCTGGTACTATGTCCATATCAACGTCGACGTGCAATGGTTTCAGCAGCAATGAGATTTGGACACAGATGGCAAGTGCAGTGGAACCTCTGGGATTGAAATGCAGGAGTTGTGCAATGGATCAGTTCCCAGCAGCAGGTACTGTTGTTTTTCAAACGTTCACAGCTCGCCGGAAAAGTATTTGAAGTTTGAGGAGGAGGAGGTGGCGGCGGAGGGCAACGATAATAGGTAGGAAGTTAGAGTTAGTTGAAAATTTTAGGGGCGGGGTGATGGGTGCTGACATGGCTAAACGTGATTGGTTATGATGGATAATGAATATTGGATTGACTTGTTTAGAAAGATAAATGAAGTGGGTGGGGAGTGATGTGAATGTGATGTACAAGTTTAAGAGGTTTAAGGTGGAGGGATTCAACTTGGAATACTATCAAAATGGGAAGGTAAGGTAAGGTAAGGTAAGGTAAAAGAGTGGGGAAGGTTGGGATACTGGGATGATCATCATAATGCACCCCACTTAGGCTTGTCACGCCTAAGATTTTTGAAGATGTGTAGTGTAGTGGGTGTAAAAGTGCTCTTGTTTGAGGTTATATTGAACTTTCTTTCTTTTCTTGCTTCTCTTTTCTTTTTTTCACTCCCCCTTTCTCTCTTCTATCTCTATCCTTCTTGTTTTTTATGCTTTGTTTGTAGATTATTAAAGAACAAAATCACACTTTTTGCTACATTTTTTTTTCCTTTCACTCGGTGTATATTTATCAATTTTGTTTTTTTTTTGCTCTGCTGCACTGTTTTCTGGGAGCTTAGCAATCAAAAAGGGTATGGGTGCACAAAGCATTACAAGAATAACATGTAGTAAAAGTTTTCAGTTGTCATTTGCATGGGGTTTGTCACTGTTAGTGCATAATATCAGTCAGGTACAGTAAAATCTCAAACAAAAAGGATAATATAAATAAGTGATAATTCAAAAACCCTTTAGGATTTTGCTTGGAATCATTTATTTTTATTTAGACATATTTGAATATATTTCATTTTTTTTAATGTTTTTCTGTATATATTATAAGTTTTTTTAACATATTTAATTTTATTTTTTCTTTTATTTTTTTATCTTCAATCTAATTTCTTCTACGAAAAAGGATAAAATAGACAAATTAATTAAGTTTCTAACGGTGATATGAATTGATTTGGATGAAAAAGAATATAGAAAAACAAGCAATTAAAAAAATAAAAAAAATAAGTGATTCAAAGTAAAATCATATGAGGATTGAGTAATATTTCTCATCATAGTAACTATTTCAAATTTTTTTTCTTGTGACACTACATTAGTGACGCCGTTTTGAACTTCCCCTCTCAGATTCATAAAAACATTTTATTATTATGAGGAATTTGAAGAAGTTAGCACAGTTGGTTGTACTTGTACATGCATTCGGTAGATAAAAATACAGTGAACAATTATCAAAGGCTGGTGCGATGCAGGTGGCATTTCCCCTGCGTAATCAAATTTAAAGTGCACGTGGCCATAGTTGCACGCCAAACAGAAGGCAAATTAACGATAAAAGTAGGAGACAAGTAGAGAAACCACAATAATATGTTCCGAATTCTTGGTTCCCCTTTTATAAACTAGGAGATCACTTAAGAAAGTTTCATAATTAGTATACCTATTGGTATAATACAAGTTCCAAGTTACTCAATCAAGGCTGAAAGGCATTAAGGGTGCAATACGTGTCGTTTTCTTGCTTTTAAGTCAATACTCAAGGGCATTATTTATTATTTTTATTTTTATATTATCTTTTAGTTCATCGATTAAGAACCATATGAATGATAAAATTCTCCATACCAGATATATTTTTGTATATAATTTAAACATTACATTATGTCAATATGTTTAAGTGGTAAGGAAGAGTCATACATCTTATATCCCGATTAATATTAACTGATAAAAAAACAAAACAAAAAATAAAAAAATTCATTCTACAATCTATCATTATTTTTTTAATTCATTTATTTAAAAAAAAATTGGCAGTAGCATTTCCAACAGATTAGGGGTGCATATATACACAAATGGTAGTTTAAGAGTTTCTTAAACATTGATTAAAAAAAGAGTTAGTTATATAAAAACTTTTGCTTAGTGTGAAAAAAAATGCTAGGATGAGAAAAGTTATATCTTTAAAAAATTTTCCCTTCTTAATTAATATTAATTTTAATATAATTATGATTTCTAGAGTATGTTATACTTGATTTAATTTTTACTCATTTTAATATTAATCAATATATAAAATTAATAAAAAATTTATTATAAATCAATAAATATATTAATATACTAATAGATAGAATAATTCAAAATAAATAAGAAAATTTTATGAGTAATGTAGTCAAAATATATATATTTTTTATGAATCGGTAATAAATATGAATACTAGTTTTATTTTTTAAATATTTTAATATTAAATTAAAAAATATATAAAACACAAAAAAAATTAATTACAATTTTAATCATTTAAATTATAATATATTTTATTAATATATATTATAATAAAATTACTTTTATATTTATTTTATTTATTTCATAATAAATAAAATATGGATTTTATTAATCTCATGTTAAAGGAGATAAGTTATCTCATGTCATAGAGATAAATTTGTGAGTTCCACCACTTGAAAAAGAAAAAACACAGTTATCGAATGGTGTGTAGGAGAAAAAATTATCTTATGTAGCATAAGAGTAATTTTTCCCTTGAAATATATATAAGATAAGTATTTTAATGAATAATTTAAATGTTAAAATTTTATAATTGTGTCATGTTATAAATCCGCTAGTAGACTAAGTAACTAGACGAAAAGACTAATTAGAAAAATAATTATAGCTTAAAATTAAAGAAGAGGTTTATATTTTCACCAAAAGAAGAAGGAGGAAGAGGTTATATTAATTATTATTTTTTATAAAATTACAAATTATATTATATCTTACCAATAAGATTTCATACAAGAGTGTATTACTGGTAAGATATAGTATAATTCATAAGAGTTTGTAAATAAAAAATTTGTAAATATAACATTCTCTAAAATTAAATAGATAAATCCTAAGGTTTAGATCAAAATTAAGAGTGTTCAAACTTTTTTCCCCTCTAAATTTTAAGTTTTAATAAACTGTATTAGTCCAAGTTCGTGTCGTTCTTTTTGTGGTTAGGTCCAAATCAATGTCAATTTTTGGTTAAGGTCCAAGTCAATAATTTATTTGTTTATTTTTATTTTGGTTGGTCCAAGTTCTTGCCGTAAGAACCAACCAAATCAACACAGAATTGTCCACCAAATCCATCGCGCACCAAATGCATGTTATTCAATCCGAATGTCCTAAATTTTCATAAATCTAAATATTAAGCGATCAATTTGACTAAAATACATCCACGATTTATGCTTTACCGCGTCAATAATTCATATTCTTAGCCCTAAACTTGCCCTCACAAGAAGGGGGAAAATAATAATAAAAAAGGGAGAAGTATTAGGAAATAATAATAAAAAAGGGAGAAGTATTAGGAGGCAGTTGCTATTTATTCGACTAGAAGATATATAAATCAACTACAAAATATAAAGACAACTACTATGAGTTCATAAAGTTTTAATTTAAGCCCAGTAAAATTAAACGAAAACACTTCAAAGTTCAATGCAAAAAAGTTACTATTTCGAATAGTTTCCCACTTTAAATTGTGATGACTGTTTCTCGTTTTTTAGAAGATAATTTTATCTCATATATATATATATATATATGAAGCAGGTTATATTTACAAACTACATTAAGTACGATCGGTCATAATTTAATTATGCAGTGTACGACCGGTCGTAATTAGTGTAATTTGTAAAAAAAACTTGTAAACGAATCTTATCCACATATATATAAATGTGTAGGACACTTACAAAATCATGTGAAGAAAAAAGAAAAAAAATATAAACTCCACATATTTTTATATAAATAAAAAAAAATTATTTATATGACACAAGAGTCATTAAATCGTTTAAAGTTTTGGAAAATTGCCCTTGTCTTTTTCTGGTCTTTCTAAATTGTCAAAAAAGTAATAATAATAAAAATTAAAGAATTGATTTTCTAATGTAATGTGTTTTTTCTTGGAAGACGGGTTAGTTTTGTTAGTGCAGGGACAAATGGAGGGTGGGGTAGTCATGCAAATATGCAACGCACACATGGACATGGGAAGGGAATAGAGTAGATTCTGCGTCCCTCTCTTTCGAAACCTCTTCTTGTGAACTTGGAATTTGGACTCTTCCTTTTTCATCAGGGTTTCCTCCGATGCTCCTCTATTCTCTGCACCCAACCAAAAGTACACTTTGTTTCTTTCATTTTCGAGAACCCCCAGTACACGTTCTCCATGTGAAAGGGCTTTTCCCTTTTCTCAAAGGCCAAAATGTCTCTGCCTTTTGCTTCTTGGTGGGGTTGCTCTAGGGTTCTGGTTTTCTCACCCGTTTAGGTTCAAATCATCCTCTTCTTTGGTTCTTTTTTTTTTTTTCCACAATTGGACCAAAACCCTTTTGTTTACACCAATAGCTGATGACAATTCCCAGCTCAAAATCCTAATTTTCTTCTGATTTTATCTCTAGGGTTTGTGCATGTTCCTCAAAATGATGAAGGATCAAGTTTGAAGCGACAATGCGGAGTTTTTCCTGAAGCATCCACCATGCAGTTCCTATCTCTTTGAGCTGCGGGGTTGCTCTTAACCTTTAGTTGGTGCTTTCAGTTCCTATCTCTTTGAAACATGGGTTGTGTCCATGGCAAGTATTGCTGCGGCAAATTTTCTTCATCAGAGTGTGGCCATCGGAAGAACGCACGCGCTCAGAGATCACTTGAGTATGTTCCTGTTCCTTCCCACAACTTCACTTTGGAATACTCTTTTCTCACACGACGGGGATACTACCCTGACTCGCCGGATAAAGAAAACCAAGATTGTTTCTGCATTAGGACACAAATCCAAGGTAACCCCAGTATCCATTTATTTGGTGTCTATGATGGGCACGGTCAATTTGGTGGCCAGTGTTCGAACTTTGTTAAGGATAGGTTGGTAGAAAAATTATCAAATGACCCTGCATTGTTGGAGGACCCTGTTCAATCTTACACTTCTGCATTCTTGACTACAAATCAAGAATTGCATGCTAGTCAAATTGATGATTCTATGAGTGGAACCACCGCAATTACGGTGCTTGTTATTGGAGACACCCTTTATGTTGCTAATGTTGGTGATTCGAGAGCTGTGCTAGCTGTTAAGGATGGGAATCGCATTATTGCTGAGGACTTGTCCTCTGATCAGACACCATATCGGAGAGATGAATATGAGAGAGTGAAACTTTGTGGGGCAAGGGTGTTGAGTGTTGATCAAGTGGAAGGGCTCAAGGATCCGGATATTCAGAATTGGGGTGATGAAGAGAGTCGGGGTTGTGATCCTCCGAGATTGTGGGTTCGAAATGGGATGTATCCTGGAACTGCATTTACCAGGAGTATAGGGGATGATTTGGCGGAGACTATTGGTGTCATTGCTATTCCAGAGGTGTCAAAAGTTCAGCTTACACCTAATCATCTTTTCTTTATTGTTGCAAGTGATGGCGTGTTTGAATTCATGTCAAGCCAAATGGTTGTTGATATGGTATGACATGCAACCTGGTTTCTTCCGTAGTTCTTTACTAAGTATTTAGATAATGTCTTCACACGCTGAACAAATTGATTGACTGATTTAACTTAACTTACTATAATGGTTGTAAAACCTGTCATCTACTTCTTTTAATGGAAATCATGTTCTCTGTTAATGGGATATAAGTTGGAATTAAAGACTTTGACTTGAACATCTGGATACAATTATGTTATTTTGTGTCTAGTTATGTTATGTTTATGGCTTACGGTAGCAAAATATCTGTAAAAGCTTTTCTATAGAAGAGCTGCCCATACCAGGAGAAATACCATTATACTATTAGGTTTTAATGGTTTTTCCCCATGAGGCATTTGGCAACCATAGGGTTCTTCTTCAGCATAACTATGGTCCGTTTCCCCCATATTTATGCAAATATAATTGAAATATAGAGCATAAGAAAAATTCTTGGCCATAAGTGCTGGTGATATGGGAGTGATGTATTACTTAAGCTTCCCCGCTTCACATCTGTTAATTATGTCTATCCACTTATCATATGTAATAGCTGCCATAATTCTGTGAACCTTATTGCTAACTGTCCTTTTACATTCAAATTGTTTACACAATTCTTGTAAGTTAGTCGTTCAGTAGAGAAACTTAAATTTAGCACTGCTCGCTCCTGATCATCCATAATCTGTTGTATACTGTTGACAAATATTTCAATATTTACTTTCCTGTTGCAATACTGTAGGTAAAATCTTAACTTTTGGTTTGATTCTTTTCTTATCTTGATAAATATGTGATTTATTTTATGGTGTAGGCAGCCAGCTATACAGATCCTCGTGATGCATGTGCGGCCATTGCTGGAGAGTCACATAAACTATGGTTGGAACATGAGAACCGAACAGATGATATAACAATTATCATTGTTCAGATCAAAGGCTTCTCTAATGTATGGATTCTTGAATATATTCCTTTGGTGCCACTTGCTTTTTATGTTTTCTACATTCACACTTGTTTAAAGATTTTAAATTTGTAGTATTAAATTATCTTCTTATCCTGTGAAAATAACAACGAAGTCTTATCCCATCAAGTGGGGTCAATTGTCAATAACATTGGTTCATATTAATCATTTGATCCTGATCCGTGCAATTACTTCTTTATCCCCTTTTTGCTCTACAGTGATGGAACAGAGAGGCTTTATGGAAGCTTCACCAAGTCTCTTTGTAGTTTCTCCTAAGTGGTACATTTCCATGTTCCAACTTTTCGAGTCTTTTGCATTACTGTTGTACATTTAACGGTTACTATATAAGTCACCGAGTCAAAATGCTAACTCAGTTTTGTTTAGGCTGCTCAAGGTTGCTAGTTTGAAGTGCATTATCTTGGCAGCAAAAGGACCTTGTTCAGAATGTAGAAATCACAGTTGGTATAATTCAAGTTACATGTTGTTTAACCATACAGAACCACCTTACTTAGGAGAACACTTAAGCTCGCCTTCTTGGGACGCGCTATTGCACCTCCACTCTATTTTAACTTTGGAAGGAAATCAATCACGAACTTGAAATGAAAGGGATTTGTGAAAGGAGATTGGGTTGTGACTATCATTTGTATTGGGTTGTGGAAGAAACTCATAAAGATGGTGGTCACTGGTCCCCTTGGAAGGCAGAAATATGCTACTTAGCAATTAGATGCATTGTCACAATTTTCCTTTGGATGCTGGATCCAGCGTATGTATCAGCAACATATCTGGATTAATTATTGCATTTCAAGATTAATTTCATGTTCTTACTATAAATTTATAGACTCTTTTTCAATAACCTAGTTGATTGGAGTTGTAGTTTCATTTCATCTGTTACGGCTTTGTTAAATGTGAGGGGGGGAAATGAAATACTTGTTAAGCATACTTTCATTGAGCAAGTATATATAGAAATATCAGTTGGCCCTCGTGGATTTATTTTATTTTATTTACCTTCGAATTGCTCAGACGCATAGTTATCAATATCGTATGATACACGATACGATTCGCACGATGATATGATTCATAAACATAACGATACGTATTATGGGGTATATCATATAGGGGTTTGTATCGGATGATACCATATATGATATGGATCGTATATTATACGATATGAAAATTAAATCAAAATTTATAATTTTTAATATAAAAAAAGAAATAATGATTTAATTATTGATTTAATTTATGATTTAAATTATAAATTAAAAATTAAAAAATTATTATTAATAAGGGAAAAAATAAAGATTTCATTTATGATTGAAATTCAAGAATCAATCTGAAAAATCTGGATTAATAAAAGAAATAATTAATTAAATATTTATTTTTAAATTAATTTTTATTATGTTTCTGTATCTTATAATTTGATATAATTTACAATACATGATATAAAAAATCAGGCAAATGATACATGATATGTATTATGTTTCAACAATCTTGTTCAGATGTTTTTCATGATCAATTTAATTACTCTTTTTTTAAAATAATTGTTGTTTCAAAAAAATATTTTTTTATATATGTTAACAGTTTAATGAATAACTTAAAGTAATAATATAAGCTGAACTTACCAAAGTACTTCTCCCTGAACACAATTCTTAGAGCCTATTTGGATGATCTTTTTTTTCTTCAAAAGTTTTTTTTTTTTTTTAAAAAAAAAATATTTCTTGAAAAAAGTCTGCTTGGATGCATGCTTTTAAGAAAAGCAAAAGTCATAAAAAAACCTAAAACTTACTTTTTTTCAGAAGCTAAAAATTTTAGCTTTTAAAAAAAGCAGAAGTCAAAAGACAAATATTTTTTTCAAAAATCAAATATTTTTTAAAAATTTTAAATAGCTATAACTTTTATAGAAAGTACTTTTAAAATAAGGAAGCGATAAAAACAACTTTTTTAAAAAGTCAATACAAACGCACCCTTAGTTGGAGAGTGATGATTCAATGTTGTATACCAAGGCTTCCTTCCAACATGCGTAATAATAATTTTTTTTGGGTATTAGTAATAGTAATATTTTATTAACATTAGTTAGCAATTTATTTATATGAATGGTAGATTCTTGTATTGTAATTTATCTTTTTGTAAGTCTTATATTTTAATATTTTTATTTAATTTTTTAATCATAATAAATTAACACACCGAATTTTTAAAATATTTTGTTAGTTTTCTTAAAAAAAAAAGTTGGGATGAAAAACAAAGTTATGTATTTTAAATAGTTTTAGGTAAAAAATTTATTCTAATTTTTTTAATAATTTCATTTTTTTAAAAAAATTATGAGTGCCGAAGGCATAGTGCTTGAATAAATTGTAAAATAAAATGGAATGCCGAATACATGCCTAGTTGAAAAAAAGAAGGTAACTCAAAAATTCAGATATATCTGGCAGATTAATTCAATTATTAACATAAGAAAAATATTAGCTCCTACCTAAATAATAAATAGGAGAGAGAAAAGAGTTGAAGTTAAAATAAAAACAAATATGGGACCCATTTAAAAATATGAGTGTAAATGATAATAATTTTTTTATTTTCTATTATTAAATTACTGCAATTCTGTAAAATAAATTATCACTTTAGAGTCAATGGCAATTTATTTTTGAAAAAAGTGTGTTTCATTTTAAAAGATATAAAATTATGTTATTTTAGTTGAGAAAAAAAGATAAATTATGGTAGGGAGAGAGTGGGAAAAAATAAATGTGTAAATCTCACAAGAGAAATGATACAAATATATCATTTAAAAATACAAATATTTTTTCTTAACTTTTATATAGACTCGTGGTGTATTTTTAGGAATAAGTGTTTTCCATATGTGAAACTATAAAAAAAATAAAAAAAATACAGGTGGCTAAATGTATGCACAATGTGAAATTGTGCATTTTATTATGTGATAGCAAGTGGCAGCACATGCAGTCACACACCCTCTCTCAAAATATGTAAAATACACGATTAATTAATTCTGACATTTTTTTTGATAAACATTAATTCTGACATCTTACTTTCTCATTATTCTGAAATTAATAATAAATGGAATCCAATTTAATATTAATTACCTAATACTATCGATTAAAAATAAAAGGGCATACAAAATAGGAATTAGAAGAAAGATAAGATTTAGGATGGATAGTCTCAATTAACTTCGGTGCAAGAATAACGGAAAAAATATGCAAAATAGTAGAACTAAAATCTTTGAAAATAAAATATAAAGCTGTCTTCTACATCTTCTTCTCGACAATTACTGGTTAATATTTATTCATTAAATACAAATACATAAATATTATATATGTATTTTGACCTATTTAATTTCAATTACTGCATCAACAGATTCAACACACTCATAAAAAATTATAAAAAATAAAAATAAAAATAAGCATATATAATACCGAAATACATAAAAAAAAAAGTGTTAATAGATAAGTTGAGATTAGATAGAAGAGAATAAATAGAGTCATAAATATTATTTTTATATGATATTAACTAATTCTAGAATGCCTAAAAATATATAAAAATAGTTTAAAGATAATTTATTATTATTTAATCAGTATAAGCACTCCTTAAAGAAATCACATAAATAAAATTAGTAGATTAAAAAATAATGAACATTAAAAGCATTTAGAATAAAATAATAATTAAAATATAAATATAAATGATAATATTATTATTGAAAATAAAATTATGCTTAAAAATTTCAAACCACATGCGAGTACGCACCTAACATATAATTACAAACCAATTTTATGTGCATTAATACAGTTTAAATATGATTAAATATGAAAAAAAATATTATTAATAAATATCAAAATTGTCACGTTATTATAATAATTATATTTTTGTACTGTCTATTCAATAGATATATCATGGGATAAATTCACTAATAATAATAATAACTATTATTATTATTTTTATTTTTATTATCTATTCAAAGTAACTATATTTATACACCAAAATGTAAGTCCTTTTTTTATGAGCCACACCCTTAGCCGCACTATTGTTGGCATAGTAGGCCCTTAACATCATTGTATTAGGTAAAAATAATAATAGAATATATCATGAATAGAAAATAATTAAATTATATTTATATGAAATTGTAAATATAATAACTTTGTTGAAATAATAATGATATACCTTTCTCTCGAATAAGAATTAATTAGCCATAAATTTTAGAATCAATTTTTATTTTGTATACTATTTTATCTCTTAATTGATTGACTATCAATCTATCATATTAGAGGTGGTAAAGCGGGCTGCTTGGCCCGACCCTCCATAAGCCTGCCAAAAAATGGGTTGGTCCATTTTGCCTCGCCTTTGAAGATGAGTTAAAAAACTCAGCCCGTCTAGTTGGGCGGGGCTGGCTGCCCACCAAGCTAGAGACATTTTATACTAAAGAAAAATAAAAAAAATTAGCCCGAACGAGCTGGCAGGCTTGGCGGGGCAGACTTGGCGAGCAATGGGTTTAAAAGACTTAGTCTGTCCCGGTTGGCCGAACCCGTTTTGCCATCTCTATATCACATGTTCAATTAGAATTATATATTTCTTAATTTGATAACTGTCAAACTAAGATATTGAAATCAATTAATGATAAATTAATTGCATAAAATGAATGAAAGTTTAGATGATGCTACCTAGGGGTGAAACTGAGCTGGGCTGGCCTACAGGGGCCTACGTCAGGCCAGATCGGACCTAGTATATTTCGTAAAATATGCCAGACTTGGACCTTGAAAAAGCTTGTCTTAGAAATAGGCTGTAAGCCCACTTTCACAAGGCTTGGCCTATAGGCCGACCTATATTGTACTTATTTTAAATAAAATAAAATAGAATAAGCATGCCTTGAAGAAAAAGATATAAATTTAATCAATTGTAATTATTTATAACTCAATTATATTCGATTATATTTTAATAGAAATATGACTTTATTTCTTATGAAGGAGAAACCAACATCTCAGCATGTTAGATTATGTATATGAATATATCAAAAAGTTTTTAGGAGAGGTTATACTTACTACAAGCATCATGATGTGTTTGCCGGATTCATGTAGTTATTTTAATTTACATAATATGAATTTATTTGTTGGATCTGATGAAATATATGTTACTTAGTTTGAGCATTTTGCTTTTGAAAGTAACTTAAATGCAGATTGTGATGAGTTTTGTTGTGATTCATGGTTCTGTTTGGACGTTGAAATTGTGATTTTTGGTTTAGCAACAGAATTTGAGTATTTTGTGAAGTTGATTCATGGTTCTGCTTGGAAGTTAAAAATTAACATGCTAACAGTCCAGGCCAGGCCATTTTTTTTTTTGTAAACGGGTCAAGTTAGGATAACAGTTAGACTCGTATTAGGCTTTGACCAGGCTAAATTGAATTTTTTTGACATAGACTTGGACTTTTCAGGGCAATGCTTAGCTCAGCCTAGCCCACTTTCACCCCTAACTAGTTGATTACCCGTGCGATGCATGGAGAAAAAATAAATAGGTTTGTTTGTCTCGTAAACGAATTAATAAGAAAATCGGTTTGTTCGTATGAAATAAACGTGTAACTTTTAAGGTAGGAACAAAAAAAGAATATAATAATTTAAAAACAGTAAATTCCATTGTTGACAGCAAAATCTCCATTAAAAAAATCTAAATGTCATGTTGACAGCAATATAATAAGAAATATGCCCAACCGATACTCACAACAGTTGTAAAATATCGTCTGCCATGCACTATTGGTATTTGCTGCTGTTCGAAATAAATCATAAACAATATATAAACAATAATTGGAAAAGAAAAAATTATTGAAGGGAATTATATAGTTTATGGAAGATGAATAATTCAGAATTACAAATAATCAGCGATAAATAAAATAAAGAAAAGAGCAGAATAATGGAATAACAGC